GGGAGGTACTTTAATTATTGAGGTTATGCATTACTAATTAATGCACGTCTTGATTAGTCATGTTTTCACAGTCTACATTTTCAGGTGCACTACAAACAGGCTTTTGCCACAAAGGCATATGCAATACTTAGGGGCACAGTAGTTTAAATATGCCTTACAGGGAAATGCAATAATATTTTTATTTTAACTTTTCAGCATAATTAACCACAGAGAAGACAACAAGCCAAAGAAATTAAGGTAAGAGACTGCAATGACACTTATATGTGAAGTTCAATGACAACTGAATTTATGTATGTAATAGAAGGGACATTAGTCAAGTTTACACACATAATGTATAATGATGTTACTGTTAAAATGGATCATAGGAATAGTCGATATTGTGTTGCTACCATCTTGTCAGCTACTGTTCATATACATGGACATGAATGCAGAAAACAAAAAAAAAAAAAAAATAAATCCCTTACAATTCCAACAAGGTTTACCTTTACACGTAACTGTATTCTTTAGTCTTTGTTGTACATAATGGATTTTGTAACATGATAAAAAACATGTAGAACTCAGTTTTTTTTTTTTTTTGCTGTATCAAAGTATTTCTAAACCTGAATTGGATGGCATTTAGTTTGTAATGTAATGTAAGCATCATAAGCAAATTGCCATTGTTTCAGAATAAATACAATATTGACCTTTTTCATAATTTTTTCATCTTAATACTGGCAATCTACTTTTTTTTTGCTTGTTTCCTAGTTGGAGAGATTTTCTATCATTTCCTGCCTCGAAAGAAGAGAAATTTCCCTAACAGACAGCAAAAAAAAAAAACTATACAAATGCTATTTTTTTTCTACATTGTAATTACCTGAATGTTAATAGGAAATAATGAACACATTTTTACCCTATTTAGTCAGTTGCCATCTGCACTATAGCAGTTTTACTGCTACAGGGCGAACTCCCTGTGCAAAATCACGTATATATACGTGATCTGTGCTCCTGCCGTGTTCCTGGGCCGGGGGTGCACGAGCCCGCTGGCCCAGAGGTGCTGTGATTCGGTACAGCACGGATCGGTCACCAGATCCAGGTCAATGATTTTGACCTGGACCTGCTGATCAGTTGTACCAAATAACAGACCATCCTGTGCCTGTGTTTACAAAACTCAGGCACAGGAAATGATGCAATCTCTTCTCCTAGAGCCATTTTCGGTTCCAGAAAGAGAAGAGAAAACATGTATGTGAGAAAAAGCAGCACATTTTACACTTAAACACTTAGTTAGATCAAATTTAAACCCCTAATTCCCCCCCCCCCCCCCAGTTAAACCCTCTCCTTGTTCTGTCACCAATGTCATTAGTACAGTGTACAGATTTTTTTTTTACTGATCACTGTATTAGTGTCACGGACAACTTCAGATAACATTAGCATCCCTCCCAGATAGCAGCAATTGTCAGCCACTACATTACCATCACATTTAACCCTTTCATTGCCAAGAACACTCTAACAGGCACACTATAAACTTCTAATGCTAGTATTATGTCTGAACGAATCAATGTCTTTGATCAGATCAAAACTATACTAGTGTCTACAATAGTATAGTGCAGGGGCGGACTGACAACTCATGGGGCCCCCAGGCAATAGGGGATCATGGGGCCCCTGTGTCCTTGCCCAAACTCAAAAAAGCTTATGAAAAAGGTACCAGGGGCATCTCATGGGGCCCCCTACTGACCCCAGGCCCTCGGGCAGTGCCCGAGTTTCCAAATAGTCAGTCCGCCCCTGGTATAGTGTCTCCAAAAATGCAGCATTAGCAGGATCCGTCCTGACACCTGCCAGTACCTGCATTTATCCCCTCCACCCCTCCCCATCCCCCCAGCAAGGGTAGTGTCAGTAGATCACTGTCACTTGATACATTAGACACAAAACCTGCAGCGTTAGCAAGATCAGGCCTGATCTCTGCTAACACTAGCAGGTAAAGTTTTTTGTGGTGCATCAAGCAGCCCCTGACAGCCAGGTGCTCATTTTCCTGTGAGTCGCACTAGGTACTGTACCTATAAATTTAGTGGCCAAAAGAAAGGTACACTAGTAAAGAGGCCTTTAGGATTCTGAGCATGTCAGTAGAGAGCAAAGGGAAAGCCTCACTGACAGAATCAGGCTCAGAATACAAATCTGTAGAGAGCAGTGACACCCCGACAGATAGCTCAGACAAGGGAGAAGAGGTCCCTGCTAAGGTCAGGCGTACTTCTAGCCAACCATTACTATGGCCCTTACCGTTTAATTTGATATTAAGGCATGACCGCACTTGATTACCTTATGAGTCAACTACTTTCCGCACAGCATTTATGTAGGTAGCTGGACTTTTGTTATGCTTCTCATTTTTTTTTTTTCAATTTTGCAAATTCATTAATGTTGCTGAACTGGTTGAGGTTTATCATACCCTACATGCCTTAATATATATGGCTATATGTTTATTAATTTTCCTTAGCCTTAAGTTCTATTATTGATGATTTGTCATCCCCTATGCTATGTTCTGACTCTACCTCCCTACACTGCTTGATGTTTGCAATGAATGGGCTAAATGCTCCCTGAAGTGGAGATTTAGAGTCTTGAGATATATCAATTTTTGGGGACTTGACATCGTGTACTTTTAACATCTGACCCGGGGTTTCCTAGTTCTTAAAGTTATTATTATTATACAGGATTCATGTAGCACCAACAGTTTGCTCAGCGCTTTACAATATAAAGGGAGACAATACAGCAACGATACAGTTCAATACAAGAGGGTTAGGAGGGTCCTGCTCCTTGCAGCTTACAATCTAAGAGGGAGAGGCTGGTGGTACAAAAGGTAACAACTATGGGGGATGAACTGATAGGAGGAATAGAAGATTCCATTATTAGCTGAAGGCGGGATAGGCTTCCCTGAAGAGATAGGTTTTCAGAGATCGCCTAAAAGTGGGCAGAGTAGGTGATAGTCGGCAAGTGACAACGTTATCAATGTTTTTAATGGTGGCGGGTGGAAACATAGTTTCAATAAAGCTATAATTTCAGTTAAACCCAGGGGTTTCCTAATTTCACTGTTCAACAAATTTTTTATTTTTTGCCAGTTTTGGAAACAAAAGGATCCATTTCTTAATGAATTTCACATTCTGAGTTCAAATATAACAATGAAATTTGTCAATTGGCTCTAGTTTTTCTGTAAACAGAAAGTTTTCTACTATAGGCGTAATGACTACATAATGCACAATAATTATATAGATAGATGTCTTTCCACAAATATAAAGCAAGTGATATTGACTACATAACAAAGCCTAAATGGCATAATATATTGCATAGGATTACCAAGAAAAATTATAGCCATAAGCTAAGTTGAATCATTTTAATACTTAGGATTCTCACTAGTTTTGTCTTCAGTTTGTGTCGGTTTTGCTTCTCTTGGCTTTTCTCTTGTATTCGAGGAAAGGGCTATCTCTTACAACTGCACGTGACTACACGCTTCAGGTTCTTCCTCACTTGACTCAACCACGAAGGATTCTGGTGCTTTAGGAATTGGTAGCCCCTCTCCATGAGGAACTGGACGTATTGCCGATGGAATATTTGGATAGTGCACAGATAACTTTTTCTTCTTATTTAGCCCTTTTACAATTGGAGGCACCATACAAAAGTAACAATTACTAACATGATCTGTTGGCTCTCTCCAAATCATTGGCACAGCGAAAGGCATAGATGCCTTTTTTCCATTCAACCATTGCTCCAGTGCCGTCCCACAAGAATTGCAGCATATATGTGGTGCCCAGCTCTTGTCCTGGTCTCCTATCTTGCAGCCAAAATACAAGTTGTAGGCTTTCTTAATCATTCCTGTTATCCTCCTTTTTTGTGAGATAAAAGTTATTTCACCGCAGATATAGCAGAAATTATCTGCTTTATTCACACAAGTTCGAGGCATTACTGAGTAGCCTATATAAGCATAAAACGAAATGTAAAGACGCTGTCGAACTACAATCAGCTACAGATACTGCAGCTTTTATGCAGTGAAGTGATGCAATTAAAGGCTAATATTGCATCATCTCAGTATACATGCAATTTTCTATTGGTCACCAGTATCAATTGCGCAATATGCAGCTGAAGTTGCATCATAATCTTGAATGGCTTACGTCATTAGACGGGTGAATATATCATGGAAACTAGAGCCAATCAACATTTTTTAGGGTCATTTTCGTTTTCAGCACCCCAAAATTATGTAAGATTAGCTAATTTTATGCCCAAAACTTTTTACCTGTTGAACAGTGTTTTTAAAGTGACAACATTGTCTTGTTTTTAATGGTGATGGGCATATGCATTTGTATAATGTTTTATTACTATGTGGTTTCAATAAAGCTATAATTTCAGTTAAACTACTTGGGTCATCTGGTAGTACCTTTTTTCCTTATGGGGGCTTTCCCCTATAAACATTTTTCAGTGTATTTTTGTGGGTACTGTGACCTGCACCTAATTGGTGAGTTAGTGAACTGAACAACAATAATTACTATTACTACTTCCCCTATATGGTGTTACTGTATTTTCTATACAGTTTCTCCCTTTTTTTTTTATTTACCATATTTTTCGCTCCATAAGACGCATTTTTTTCCCCAGAAAAAATATGGGGGAAAATGTCTGTGCGTCTTATGGAGTGAATACTGACAGTCCTCCACCTGTCACCGCCGCCGTGTTAGGACCAGTGGCTGTCCCGTCCCATTGCAGCCTGTCCTCTCCCACTGCATCCTGTCCCCTCCCACTGCAGCCTGTCACTGATGCTCTCCCTACCTTATCCCTTCTCTCTCCGGATACTGACAGTCCTCCACCAGTCACCGCCGCCATGTTAGGGCCAGCGGCTGTCCCGTCCCACTGCAGCCTGCCACTGATGTTCTCCCTACCTTATCCCATCTCTCAGCGGGCTGTCTCCGCAGCTCTTCATAGCAGGCAGTCCCCCACCGAACCCAGCTCTGCCGGTCCGCCCTGCTGGTGTGGCCTGTCCTCGGAGTTCCTCCCCACTCCTGGCATGTCCGTGTACTGCTCTCCATGCTCTGCAGTCCGGTCCGCAGGTGTGGCCTGTCCTTACAGCTCCTCCCCTTTCCTGACATGTGCCCATAGTGCGCTCCCTGCTCTGCAGTCCGGTCCTATCTGCTGGTGTGGCCTGTCCTCGGAGCTCAGTGCGCCCCCTGCCTTCTGTAGGTTAAAAATGACATGCTGGGAGTTGTAGTCCTTTTCCTAGATGTATGGTGTCAGATCATTTGATATTCTGGGTGGAGGAGCCCTGTTGGGACTTTATATGATGTAGTATGTCCGCAGTCTCTGGTCATCCCCTGTACTGTGTCCGCAGTCTCTGGTCATCCCCTGTACTGTGTCCGCAATCTCTGGTCATCCCCTGGACTGTGTCCGCAGTCTCTGGTTATCCCCTGGACTGTGTCCACAGTCTCTGGTCATCCCCTGGACTGTGTCCGCAGTCTCTGGTCATCCCCTGTTCTGTGTCCGCAGTCTCTGGTCATCCCCTGAACTGTGTCCGCAGTCTCTGGTCATCCCCTGGACTGTGTCCGCAGTCTCTGGTCATCCCCTGGACTGTGTTCGCAGTCTCTGGTCATCCTCTGGACTGTGTCCGCAGTCTCTGGTCATCCCCTGTACTGTGTCCGCAGTCCCTGGTCATCTCCTGTAGTACACCTGCAGTCTCTGGTCATCCCCTGGACTGTGTCCGCAATCTCTGGTCATCCCCTGTACTGTGTCTGCAGTCTCTAGTCATCCCCTGGACTGTGTCCGCAGTCTCTGGTCATCCCCTGGACTGTGTCCGCAGTCTCTGGTCAATCCCTGTACTGTGTCCGCAGTCTCTGGTCATCTCCTGTAGTACACTTGCAGTCCCTGGTCATCTCCTGTAGTATGTCTGCAGTCTCTGGTCATCCCCTGTACTGTGTCCGCAGTCCCTGGTCATCTCCTGTACTATGCCCGCAGTCTCTGGTCATCTCCTGTACTACGCCCCCAGTCTCTGGTAATCTCCTGTACTATGCCCGCAGTCTCTGGTCATCTCCTGTACTATGCCTGCAGTCTCTGGTCATCTCCTATAGTATGTCCGCAGTCTCTGGTGATCTCCTGGGAGGGGCCCAAGAAAATGTTTGCCCAGGGCCCAATCAATATTAAAGACAGCGCTGGTGCCAGGCCAGCCTTTCAGTGAACGAGCATGTTATACCGTGGGAGGAGTGAGTGCTGGTGGCCGCGCTGCTGTGCTGTGTACATGGGGGGTAATGTTCTCAGCTACAGTGCTCTCATAACAATGAAGGACACATTACTAGCAATTCCTTCATTACTGTATTTTCTTTCAGAAAAATACCACCTCCTCATTCTACATACGTACAAGAATGATAAAGCAGAAAAGACAAGCATATAAAATTCCTTTTAAACTGGAGGTAGTAAAATATGCTAAGGAACATGGAAACAGAGAAGCGGAGAGACATTTTGGGCCACCTCCAACTGAAAAAATGATAAGAGAGTGGAGGAAACAGGAGGATCAGCTGCAAAAAGCAGGTAAAAGTAAGCACACTTTTCGTGGGCATGCTGCAAAGTGGCCACAGTTAGATGTGGACATAAAAGAATGGATCATACGTCACCGGAATAATGGCTTCTCAGTCTCTACAAAAATGATAATATATGAAGCCAAACGCATTGCTGCAGAGAAAGGTATTCAGGATTTTACTGGATCCCCAGCATGGTGCTACAGATTCATGAGGCGATGTAACCTTGTTATGCGCACCAAAACTAGAATTGCGCAAAAAATGCCAAAAGAATATGAATCTAAGATTCTGTCTTTTCATAAATTTGTAATTGATGCTAGGAAGAAAAATGGTTTTGAAATTGGCCAGATTGGGAATATGGATGAAGTCCCGCTAACCTTTGATGTGCCATCTAATAAGACTATTGATCTAAAAGGTGCCAAAACCATAACCGTGAAAACCTTGGGACATGAGAAAACCCATTACATGGTTGTGTTGTCCTGCTGTGCAGATGGCACTAAATTGCCACCCATGTTAATTTTCAGAAGGAAAACTTTTCCAAAAGAAGTGATTCCAAAAGGAGTTGTTGTACATGTTCATGAGAAAGGATGGATGGACGAAAATGGAATGAGAGTGTGGGTTGAAAAAGTTTGGTCCAAACGTCCTGGAGGGCTTCTAAAAAAACCTGCCATATTAGTGCTTGACCAGTTTAGAGCACATATTAGCGAAACTACAAAAAAGTGCTTTAAAGAAGTGAAGACTCATCTAGCTGTAATTCCTGGGGGTCTTACCAGCCAGTTGCAACCTCTAGACGTTTCCATCAACAAACCATTTAAAGTCTTTATGCGAGAAGAGTGGAACAAATGGATGGCTGTTGGTAATCATGATCTGACACCTACCGGACGAATGAAGAGGCCCACTATCACTCAAGTTTGTGAATGGGTGAAAACATCATGGCACTCAGTGAAGGAGAAAATCATTGTACAGTCATTCAAAAAATGTGGCATTAGCAATGCCTTAGATGGGACTGAAGATAGTATCTTATATGAAGATAGCGAAGAAAGTGATGCCAGTGATTGTGAGAAACTGAGCTTCATAAATTCTGACACTAGCGATGATGAGTTCCTGGGCTTTCCAGAAAACTAGAAGAGTACTCAAACCTTAAAGTCTGTCCTCATTTGTTAATGACAGTGATGATGGTTCTAAATGTCATTGTTGACTACTGTTCACGTTACATGGTTGAAACATTATTCTGTATGTTTTATTAAATATTTTAGTACTCCATTTGGTTCAGAATATTTTTTTTCTTGTTTTCCTCCTCTAAAACCTAGGGGCGTCTTATGGTCAGGTGCGTCTTATGGAGCGAAAAATACGGTAATTTTTTTAAATTTTATATAGTGTATACACTTCAGAGACCTTTGGTCTTGTTCTCAATTAGGGGACATGCTTTGAAATATTTGTCTCCACCTCTCTCCTTGTTATTTACTCTGTTTGATACTTTATAACATAAAAGTTCTAGGTATGGCTTTTAAATTGGGAAAGGAGTTTGATGTGGAGATTAGATCAACATTCAAAAGGGGAAGGACCCACCGTCCAATGATACAACTGAAACAATTAGGGAGAAATTTAGGAACCACAAAAAATTCACAGTTAAATATATTAATAGGATATGGGATATCTCCTCTTTGGAATTGTACTTTGAACAAGGTATGATTCCGAGGGGCCTCCGTGATAGGGTGGTCCCGGTGGAAAACCTCCACACTGAGCGCTTCTTGGTGAAATGGAAATCTTAGTGTCTTCAAAGAGGTATGGAGGTCATGCGCTTTATTGTAGAGGAAAAAAAAAATCCAACTTGAGGAATTACAAAAACAAATTGAGGAGAGTGTTGGAGAGTTTGATCCTTTTAAAGATGAATTGGAATTTGAAAGGCAAAATGAATTATTAAAGGAGGTGGTTAAGATTCAGAGGGATCTTAAAACCGCTAAGCAACTCAAATTCAGAAGAGACATTGAAGACTGGAACAAGGGATTTATCGTTGCTTTAACCACTAATAGACAGAGGAGCTGTTCACATTGGAGACAAATTACTCCCAATCGTAGTGGCGCCTCATCTTTGGAGAGTGATAAGAACTCATCTCAAAATTCGGCCTCTTTTTTAAGAAGATCCGGTCTCCAACGACCAAGTAACCAGACATCAATGGGAAAGGACAAAGGCATACTGGTAAACAAAGGTCAAGGGGAGGAAAGAGAAAGCGGAGAAAACAAATCCTACAGGACGAACCCAAAGCCAGAAGAAATAAACTGTCAGACACAGGAAGAACCTTTATTGTATATAGATGATCTTAAAGTTATTAATCTTTATGACTTTGTCCTACAAGATAGACATCAAACTTTTGCAAAAAGGTATTGCCTTCTCTCCCACTTCTGATATGGATTAATTTGAGGTATTTAAAGACGTCAATCTATTTTTGAGGAAGGTCCCCCTTAAAAAATTCTTTAAAGAACCGTTGGAATCGGAGAGGCGGCAAGATACTTTTCCCAGTGATATAGAAAGACAGGTAATAAATGACTTGGTTAGTCTTTTAGATGAAAATGCTGAATTTGAGGAGGAGGTAGAGGATTCAGCCTTGATGCCTATAAGAACAGTTGATTTGAATATTACGTTCACTAGGATGCCTTCCCTACAGCAGAATAAGTGGGTGAGCTTCTTCTTGGAGCTGGTACAGAAAGATCTCAAAATGGTTGACTGGTCTCTTAGGTCTAATGATAATCTTTCTAAAGATGAATGGACAGCTCTTAATGCGCTCAAGAATGGCTCCAGCATATGCCTGTTTACATTTAAGAAAATGAAAAAAATTATGTTGTGTGCCACTCTCATCTGTACCTGGCCCACACAGTGACGTGGATCAGGGAAATCGATGATGCTGTTATGGTCTGGACATATGTTCATGACTGAATTGAATCATAATGATCAGAATATTAGACTGACCTATAATTTTCACCACAAAGAGATTTAATTTTTGGATCTCTTTATCTGCATTATGTATCAAAGATTTCGGGAACAAGGATACCCACATAGGGCCCTGATGCTAGGCAAAAAAAAATAGTCATCAAAGAGGGAACGTAGTACTTTACTCCAACAGCCAACTAGGGCCTCTAATAAAGATGCAGCTTCGGGCCCTACAAGATTTATCGCCAAATTTGGTTCTCAATGGGGGTGATAAGGTCTATACTTTCTCAACACTCGCATGTCTTGACCTCAAACGCAGTAATTGCAAACGTTTTTGGCCCCAAACCCTCTATGGTAGCCAAAAGAGCAAGTAATTTAAAAGACATCTTGGTACATTCTGAATTTACTAGAAGTTCTTTCTCTAATTGGCCACCATATACTACTGGAATGTTTCCCTGTGGACGTTACTCTATCTGCCTGTTTGTTGAAAGGACTAAGATGTTCACGGGAGCAGATCGCACAAGAACATATGATATTACGAGCTTTTTCATTTGTTCCACAGACAGGGTACTTTACATGATTGAATGTCCTTGTAAGAAATTTTATGTAGGCAAAACAAAAAGATCCCTGTGTGTCCGGATCAGTGAACAACTAAGAGCTATTAGAAGTAACAGCAATCCAAAACAGGAGGAAAAAGTGAATCCTCTGGTGCTTCACTTTAAAGAAAAACATGGTGGTCTGACCACTGGCTTAAAAGTAAAGTTTTTTTTTCCCTGAAGCTATCTGCTAGGAGAGGTGACTTTGATAAAGTCATCCAGCATGAAAAACGTTGGATATATAAGCTTGGTAGTTTAATCCCGAATGGTCTAAATAATGAGATGAATTTGTCAGTCTTCCGTTCTGGCTAATGTTGCTATTGTCTAAATGCCTTCGAGGCTATTTGATTATTTAAAATGTAATTTGTGTTTTTTTTTGCTCCCTGGGCCCTTTATAATTAGCTCCCAAAGAGGTGGTCCTCATGATATTGGGGGGATCAATAGTATATTCCAAACGTTTACTGTTTGGGATGTATTCTATGGGTCAATGATTGCTGATCTATATCACCACACTGGTACCCTCTATCCAAGATGGCCATTTCCTATGGTTTGAAATTTTAGTTTTGAGAAATGAGTTCTGATTCAATATGAGTTATTGGTAGCTGCTGAGGTTGCATAGGGCACCATTCTGTGTTAGAACTGCTTCATTATGGGATTGAGTATATAAATTAAGTAGTGGAGAGCACCCTCTACTGGTCTTGAGAAAGACAGGCGAAACGCATTGACTGTAGCTCCTACATTAGGATGCCCCAGGACTACGTCTCAATGTCAGGTTATGCATAAACTTTATGTCGGGCTAACCATTGCGGAGCAGCAACTGATCTTCTCATACGCATGTGTGGA